ACAAAAAGCCCCAGTTCTCAGGACCTGATTAACTCAGCTGTTGAGTTAACTAAACACTAGCAACTATATTTTCCATTACAACTGCCTATCTGAGCATGCCCACTCTCATAGGCTGCATGCTAATCTGAGCATGTCCACCCTCAAAGGCTACACACATATCTGTGTGCCCACCCTCTTCAGATACATACTTATCTGAGTATGCCTATCCTTGCAGGTTGCATGCTTGTCTGGAATGCTTACCCTTTCATGCCACACACTTATCTGAGCATGCCCACCTTCTCTGGATGCACACTTATCTGGTGTGCTCACCCTCATGCACTGCATTCTCATTGGGGACCACCTGCCCATGTCTTCAATGATGCAGGATGGGATTCATATACTCCACAGATTTACTAAGCAACAGGTGTACAGTGGGGCCCTTGCCAGCATCCTTCCCACTCAGTGGAGTTTCTTCTGAGATAGGGATTGCTCATCTGACCCCAAGAGATACTGAGCTCTGACCTTTGATGTTAGGTGTCCCCAGGGTTATGGAGCACCAATGCCACTGAGGCCTTGTGGAACATGCATGGCTATTGTGGATATGTCCCTGCTGGAGAGAGCTACAGGGACTTTATCTGTAGCATGCCACGACCTCTTCAGGGATCTAATAGAGATTCTGCTCCCAAATCCACTGGCTGCAAGACCAAGCCAGCAGTATCTGCCTCCCAACCACAGAAGCAGCTGGGCAAATCATATTGAAGTTGGGTGTAGCTTTCACCTTGGAGACAGGAGGGGCCAGGAACTTTCCTTGCATTAGTGAACATTTGTTATGAAGAAAAATATCTGGCTCTGAGAAACATGCTGGACCTCTGGGAAGGGGATGGAGGGGAAATGCCAACTTAGACCAGACCTGGACAGTCCCAGGGTGATGGGTGTTTCCTTCCTTCTATCATGAAAAATGGTTCTCATGCTGGGGTCAGGGGTCACCATTGCCCATGCAGGATGTCTTGGATGACTCCATGTTTTATTTTCAGCTGTTTTTGTACAGAATCCAAAAGACTCATCGGCAAGATGCAGCATGTAATAAACAGGAACCAATGTGCCATATCTTCTGATTGTACCTGACAACCCAGGAACTCCTATTCTCCCTAAGTTGCTGGGTATGACCCTGTGAACCTCATCATTTATAAAGTGCCAAGGGACTGGCCTGACATACTTGCTGTGTGACATTGGACAAGTCCTTTTCCTGTCTTTGAGCCTTCAGTTTCTTCAGGGCAGAGTGGGCTAGATGGTCTAAGGAGTCTCACAGTTTTGGCAAACCAGCTGTCACCCTGGATATCACTGTGGCCTGAAGGAACCCAGCCTGCAAGAGGGTGCTCAATTAGCTCATCAGCTGCAGTGTTAGCACTGCCTTGAAAAGCACTGTTCAGGCAGACATGCAGCAATCTCAGAGAGCTATACTGTCTCCTTGACCTTTTCCTAACTAGTTCATAAGCAAACCATCTCTGTCCTCAGGATGCAGTGGACGGAGTGACAAAGCACTTATCTGGACATAGGTTATGTGGTGACCAGTGCTTACATTTCATCCCAGTCTGCTGCTGTCTGCTGTATAGTCCTTAAGCAAGTTGTTCCATCCCTCCCTTTGTAAAATGTGGCTACTGAGCTTCTGTCTCACGGGATTGGCCAAGGCCTCAGTGGACAAACACATGGCACTCAGAAAAGCACTCAGAGAATTGGAAAATGAATAGAATACTTCACCAAGAACCTCGATTATGACTGTGTCAGCTGCTGCCACTCCTGCCACAGAGGAGGAGGAGCCAGCTGAGTGAGGATGTGCATAGGTCCATCATTCACAACACTACAATATTCTTTGTGCTAGTCAAAAGTACCTTGCTGAGTGTGGTGGTGCACATCTGTAATCCTAGTGCTCAGGAGGTGGAGGCAGGAGGATCAAGAATTTAAGGCACCCATAGCTAGACAGCAAGCTCAAGGCCAGCCTGAGGCCCTGTGTAAACAAATGAATGTATTCAAGAGAGGCAGGAGGGCAGCTCTGGGGCTAGGTTGAGGCTAAGGCACTAGGTTCCTGTGACCAGGTTCCTGGATCACTCTTAGCCTTTGGTTCTCCACTTATGAAAAAGATCACTAAGTTGAGGAGATCAGATGTTCCAATGCAAATGAAAAAACCCTATGTAAGCACCAGGTGAGGCAGCACTGGTGAAGACATGCCTGGGCCCTCATCTTCCCTGGACCCTTGGTCTGAATGGCCCCAATTGCACCCACCCACCTGTCCTTCCTGGAAGCCAGTTGTCCCACAGTTCCCCAGCATCAGGCTTCCCTGTTACCAACAGCACATGCCCCATGCAAGGACTGAGTGTGAATACTTCTTGCTGTGGCCATGTCCTAGACCCCTGTGCATAAACCCTGATGGGTCAGCCCTCCCTATGACCACACATAGCTACTGGCCAAGCATACTGGGCTGGGTGTAACTTCCAAGAAGCATGACTCATGGTTCTAACTTGCTCCTCAGAGCTCCCAAGGGTTCCACAGGCCAGCTGGGAAGGCTCAGGGTACAATTTGTTCACTTTTAGAAACCTACTGAGGGCTGGTGAGATGGGTCAGCAGGTAAAGGTGCTTACTGCCAAGGCTAACAATCCCTAGAGCCTACATGCCTACACTGTGGAAAGAAAGAATTGACTCTAACCTACACACACACGCACATGCACACACACACACACACACACACACAGAGAGAGACAGAGAGAGAGAGAATAAATAAGTAAAAAAAGTAATAAAAACTGTGAAACCCACTGAATAATGCTAGTTTACATTAAGTATTGAAACCATTTTTTTCTTACTTTTTTCCTCCTCTTTTTTGAAGTAGAGTCTTGTCATACAGCCCAGGCTAGCCTTGAACTCAACCACCCTTCTGCTTCAGCTCCCAAATTCTGGGATTACAGGTGTGTGCTACCACACCCAGCTCAGAAACTACTTCTTGAATCATATTTTATATCCATAATAAGAAGATTAAAAACTATCATTCAATCAGCACTTCCTATGAGCTCCAAACACTGTTTAGACCCAGAACACAACTCATACTTTGGTCTCACCCCATGAAGCCAGCTCACTTATCTCATTCTATAGAAGGGGAAAGTGAGACTTGGAGAAGTTAATCAAGGTGTCCACATTCATAGCTAGTGAGTGACAGGCCTGTGGGCTGAGTCCTGATTTCAGACCCTGGTTTTTTGTTTGTGTTTTTTTGTTTGTTTGTTTTGTTTTGGTCTTTTTTGTTTGTTTTTGAGACAGGGTCTCACCATGTAGCACTGGCTGATCTGAAACCTACTACATAGACCAGGCTGGCCTTTAACTCATAGACATCTGCCTGCCTCTGCCTCCTCAGTGCTGGGATTAAAGGCATGTGGCACCACATCAGGGCCAGAGCCTGGTTCTCAACCTTCCAATCATTTTCTTCTTCAGCCAGCAAAGGCAGCAAGGAGGGATGTGGAAGATAGCGGGATCGGTCTGAAGGGTAGCCAATAATACAACCATTTCATATTTCTAAAAACAAAAGACTCCTGTTGTGTTTGTGATACCACCTATAGAGAGAAAATCTCAGCAAATCACCATGGCTGTAGGGACACACGTCCCTGTTTAACATTCCGTGGCTCCCAGGTACCTCTGTGGCTGTTTTAATGCATCCCCTCAGCTTTAACCCCTGAAATATGGCTCTCCTCTAGCTGTCTTCTGACTTCCCTCTTGGGCTATCTTGTCTCTGCCATCCTAGCAGATTCCTCTTCATTCCACCCACCCTGCAGGGCCTGAGGGGACCAGCTTCTGCAAAAGGGCCCAGAGCTTCTAAATTCCTGTTTCCTTGGAGGCTTCATCTTCAACTTTGCCCCAGGCAAGAACTTAGAAATTTATGAGCAACTACCCACCACAACCAAAAACATGAGGAATGATATACATAGTCAGGGGGACCAAGGCATAAGAAACATTTGGTTCCTCTTTCTCATAAGGAAAAATTAAAAGTAGCAGACAGGAGAATAATGGCCTGGGTACTTGGCCACAGCAGCAGGAGTAACAGAGGACAGTGGGGACTGTGGCCAACCATCACCTCACTGGAAGAGGTGCCTGTCGCTTGGCTCTACACAACCTGTCAGGTGGATACTCACACCCAGGGTGGCCAAATCTTATTCCTCAAGAGGTGCTAGAGTCAAACTTCTTTTCCCCACATTAAGTCTAATTTCTAAATGATGCCATCTAATTCTTTTCCTTTTATTCCTTTCTTCTTGTGTAAACCACACAAGGGAGCTGGACATGGCCAGGAGTTCTGCACTTCCAACCCTCTATCCTTGTGGCAGCCCATGGTCTGCTCACTGACCAAAACTCCCCTGTGCTTCCCAGCTTCCCTATGGGTAGGGAGGGGCTATACTGCAGGGGAGAAGATATAAGTAACTCCCAGGCCCTGGCAGTTCGGAGCCGGCCCACAGTCTCCCATTTTTCCCCACTAGCCAGACAGTGTGACCCAAAGGCCACCTGGTACACCTGGCACAACAAGACTGTAAGATGGAAGCCATTGCTGTCCCCTCTACAGACTGCAGGTGAGAGGGACAGTCTCAGATCCAGGGTTGTCAGTGGAGATGCCAGTATTCCCTGCTGACATATACCTGTAGCCAGGCTCAGTGATATAAGAATCATACTCATAACCATTTAGCAGGTCAGTTTTCAAAGCATCTTACCCCATCTTTCTATATATGACTCTGGACTCACCCAACAGGTGGGGTAAAGCTTTATTTCAGAGGGGAGCAAACGAAGGCTCAGAGCAAAGCAGAACAGCCCCCAGTGTGCAGTAGGTATGTGGAAGAGCTAACTCTGAGCTTCTGAATAGACTCCCAGTCCAGTGCTCCTCCTACCCCTCATCTTTAAGAGTTGATGTGTCCAACACGAACTTCTTGGTGCTCGAGAGGCCACCTGTGAGTTTGCGCAAAAACCTTCTGTCATGGCTAGAAAGATCAACCTCTTACCTTTCCCGTCGACTTGGTACCCTTCCAGATACAGAAGTAGCAGATAGTCCAGGCTGCCAGGAGACACAGAGCCAGCTCCCAGCGGAGGTTGCCGATGTGCTCGATCCCATCAGAGATGGCCAGGACCCGACGCCTGCAGAGGGAGGGTGTGGAGTCACTGGACTGCTGATGGCCCATTGTGCTCTGACCTGTGGCAGAGTAAGGGCTGTAGAGGAGAGGGACAGGCTACACTCTGGCTCCCCAACACTATATCCTCCACATTCGCCAAGCATCAAACCCTGAGCAGGGCATGGGGCCTGTAGGAGGAACAAGACTCAGCCTCTTCTGATGCAGAGTGATGCTCTGGGCAAAAATGAAGATGTGATAGAAGAGGCTGGGGAAGAACTGGAGTATCTGGAAGAATGTACTACTTCACAAACACTCCATGTCCTTAAGAGCAGACTATGTATCCCTGCCTTACTGAACTCAGGGGTGGATATAGGATTTGCTATGGCTACTGCTTGGTCAACCATGGACCATGTGTCACTTCAGAAAGAAGCTTCTAGAGTCAGGTAGCAAGGCTCCCTAACCCTGCTGTGATTATGGAAGCAAGTGTCAAAGCAGGGGTTCTAGAAGCCCATTCCTGAGGGTCCGCATGAGACAGTATGTGAGTGAGAAATGACCCCTGCAGTTTACAATGACTGAGAGCTCTGGGGCATTTGTTCCTGCAATGCGACTCAACCTATCCTTGCTGCTGTAGAGTGTCTAGAAGCTTCCTAGAAGGAGGATATGGAAGCCACATTCTCAAGGATGAGTGGAACAGAGGTGGGAAAAGGAGGAAGTGGAAACTGTTCTAGGTTGTGGGTCTGAGTGGAACCCTAAAGACAGTGTGGTACATTTGAGGGACAGCAAGTTAGGGTACAGGGGCACAGAGAGGAAATGTCCATACCAAGGGATAGGAGTGTCCCAGAGGACCCAGACCAAAGGACAGCAAGGACCCTAGGTATGCTGTAAATGTCTCTGCCCATGGCCTTCCCTCAGAGCTGATCGATTCCTAAGAGTTGCTACAGAACTAACTCCCAGAGCCCACCCCGGGGTTGTCTTTCTTTAAAGTCAAATCAGCCACGCTCCATATTGTATTCGACCATGGCACAAACCCCCTCCACACTTGCTCCACGAACCCCATTCTGGCTGCCAAGCCACTCCCGCCAGACAGTGCCAGTCGCCTTGGTGCTCTGAGAATGTCCCTGAAGAAAGGAGATCCCACCCCACCAAGCATGAAAGCCACCCTCAGTGTCTGTCTCCCTGGGAATCAGCACGGGCCTGATTCTGCATTAATTACTCAATGACACCAATTAGCGCTGGTCAGCAGGCTCCCTCCAGCCCCAGCCCCTGCTGGAGAAAGCAGGCAGGCCCCCAAACAAAATCAGACTGTGGGCAGCCACGGGGTTATTAGAAACCAGTCCTCAGGCTCATAGCCAGAAGAAGTAGGAACAACCACTTTAGTACACATTTCCTGAGGGCCTACTATGTGTGTGCTGGGCACTACCTTAGATTCTGAGGATAAAAGGTAAGCATGTTTAACTAGGTTAATGGATAAAAGGGAAAAGAGTTATCTGAGAAGTCAGCCATCCTGTCCTAATAACCACCACCACCTGGCCTGCTTCAGATAGCTTAGCAGTCTACAGTTTTAATACAATGGAAAACATTACACCTTAGCCCATAAGAGACCTTCAATGACTTCAAAGGGAATCTGGTATGGTAACAGAGAAGCATCTTTGCAGAATGGATCCCTGGGAGCTGTCCTGGGTCATGTTTCTACAAGTATTTCTTTATAAACTTTGAGCTCTGTAGGTTTTTGCACTGCCTTTTTTTTGGGGAGGGAACTGGGGAAGCTGAAGCCTCCTCTTCCTTCTTCTCCTGGCTCAATTCCACTAGTCTTCAAAATGTGGCTTGTCTATGGCTTCTTCCAGGAAGCTTTCCTGGGCCCCCCGTAGCAGTCAGGACAGGTTGAGTTTTGCTGAAGTAAAAAGTGCTCCCAAAGATCTCAAAGGCATAAAACAATAACACTTGTTTCTTGCTCACGTGATAGGGATCCTTTGAGAAGTCACTGCAGGGATAGACTTCCTCCCTGGAAATATCACCACTCTCAAAATTCTATAGGAACTTTGAGGGTGTCCACTGCCTTCTTTGTCCCCAGTAACTGACATAAACCTACTGCCTTTCAAAATGTTATTTGAAACATCCCACTGGTTGATAAGGAGGAATTACCCAAAGCAAGACAGACCCTTGGTCTCTGTGCATGGAAATAACATGGCATGCTCTGATCCGTTCATTGCTGACTTGGCACAGTCCTCAAAAAAAATCACATGGGGGTTCCCCAGCTAGCAGAGGCAACACACACACACACACACACACACACACACACACACACACACACACACACACACTTTTTTTTATTGTTGGAATTGTCTGACGAACTGAGGATCTGAAGACTGAAAATGCACAGGGACTGAGGGAGGAAGAAGGGAGTGAGTGGATCTGCCAGGGGCTAGCTGGCTTTGCTCCCCTCTCTTCACATTTGGATGCCACAAGCCTCTGAGCCATGCAGCCTGCTCCGGCGCCCTCTCCCTTAATTGAACAGTCTCATTTCCAGAATGGGAAGCAGCGTTCCAAAGCCTTGGAGGATGAACTGCTCTTTTGTTCTGTCAGGCTCTATTTGAAAACATCCTCAAACTATTTTCTTTAGGTTGAACTGATACTGTCACTAGGAAGACTCTAGAAAAAAGTGGGGCTCAGTGGATGGGTTCTCAGCTGGTTGGGCTGTGGGGTTGTTTTGAAACCCACAAGGACAGCCTTTGAGAGTGTGGGGGCTGGGGCACTCCACTCTGGAGACTTGGGGAAGGCATAGCCCTTCCTGGGAAAAAGCTCTCTTAATGACCCTCCCCTATGAAGCCCTGGCATACAAGAGACTGAATGAGGAAGAGCTTCCTGCCAACAGGCTGGCCGGCCAGGACCAAGGACTGGACCTCCCGACACCATGCCAGGAGTGGGAAGCACTCAGGACTAGCTGGGGCTCCCCAGGGACATGGATGTTTGCAAGTCAAACACTGTGCACTATGAACTGGCATAAGAGCAGATTCAAAGAGCACCTTTAGCATATTTCTGGAGGCTGAAACTTCAGCCTGGAGGGATAGAGCTCAGGTGTCTCCAGCCCTCAGCACATTCTTGAGACTGGCTAGGCTCAAATCTCAGCTCTGCTTCCTACCAGGTGTGTCACCTTGGGTGAGAAATGTCACCTATCTGGGCCTCAGCTTCTGCATCCATAAAACAGGATTAATGGTACCTGCCTTCAAAGGCTGCCCAAGAGTGAAAGCGCTCAGCCCGCCCCATGATTCTTGAGAGAACAATTATTATCACTTCCGCTTCAAGGATGGGGAAACTGAGGCACAGCCAGCTGAAGGAACTTGCCTAAAGTTCCCTGTCATCAGCAAATGACGGCTTGGCTGGGAGTCAGGGGAGCCTCAGCACTGGCCCATGAGATCCCATAATGCTGAAGTCACCACTGAGTTTCTATCCTGCTTTATTAACTACAGCAACAGTAAAAGCATAGCTCAGAGCTACCTCACATTCCTTTTCATGCCAGGTAAAGGGAGTACTGAGCACCTGTCACTCCTGAACAAACTGCTATATTCAAGTGCTGCTACAGAGACTATCGGGATGGCAAGTGCTGTGCCAAGAAAAAGCTCAGGACCCAGCAGGAAAGGCAGACAAGGAAAGAGAACAAATCATGGGCAAGAAGAAGGTGATGGGATCGGTGCCAGTATATAAATATGGGTGTGGATGGGGGTTGCTGAGAGGTAGGAAGACAGTTAGCAAGGAAGGTGTGTAGTGGGAGGTCTTAGGGGCAGAAAGTCAACCCATGGCAAAGCTGGAGGCTGGAAAGGATGCTCAGTGAGGTATGCATGGTCAAGGTGATGAGCTGGAGTGAGGGGCAGAGGTGAGGGTGAAGCCGTGTAAGCCCTGCAGAATGGGGCTGCATCCTGAGGGTAGTGGATGCTTACGAGAGTCTAAAGAGGATGAGACCCTGCCAGGTCGGATGGGTGATTCTGGAAACTCAACTCTGGCTGCAGAGGAAAGAGTGGATGATGATGAGGTGGGTGCCCAATGCAGAGGCCTTCTTCTTAGGAAGGGTAGTAAACGAGGTGGATTGTGACCAGGTAGAAGATGGGATGGATGGGTTTGAAAGAAACAAATGTAGAAGGGCCGTGGACCCCTGGTCAGATGAGGACAAGTTCAGCAGAGAAGCAGTAAAGTAGCAAGTGTGGCTGAGGAGAAAGCAGTGAATGGTCACTCATTCTTTACAACCAGATGGCTTGAGGTGCAGGTGGGACATCCATGGGACTGCAAGGCCTGGAGGCTGCTGGATCTCTAGATACAAAGCTTGAAAGACAAGCTGGGAAGACAGTCCCACCTAAGCCCTGGCACTGGAGGCTTCCTGGGAGAGCTGGAGAAGGAAGATACCAGGTTTGCAACTTAACCCCAGAAACCCAACATCTCCAGGGCACAAGAAAGAAGGGAGGACTCCCGAAGGAGACAAAGAAGGATAGGTCAGAGAACCAGGGCAGCATGGCAGAAGGGCATACCCAACCTCAAAGGGAGAGGGAGTCTGGGGGGCAAGTGGCTCCTTTGCCCACTGTCAAGGCTAAGAGCTGCACTCTCTGCAGGGGAGACCCATGAGGAGTGAATGGGAGGTGAGACATGAGAGAGGTGGCTCTTTTAGTAAGGATAACTCTGCTGGGTTGGAGGCAAGGGGCTGAAGGGGCTGAGGGGCTACGTACTCAGTGTTTGCTCCAAGGTAGCCACAGGATACTGCCAGGAAGGGGCCAGTGATGAGGGGAGGGAGGGAACACATGGGTGGAGGTGTCAGAGGGCCTTTCTATTGGCAGAGGAAAGAAGGAGCAGAAATCAAGTCCAGAACACACTGTGATTTCTTATCAAGAGATGGAGAGGGGAGCAGACAGACCATGGATGGGGTTATGACAGGTGCTAAGAGTAGGGACCCCCAACTCACTTCATTCAGCACTCATAGCAAACAACTGCCATCAGAGACTTAGTCCTCTGGTCCTTCACATCCATGGGTCACTGGTTCCT